TACGACTCGGGACCTCCACGAGGGTGTACTCAGCGCTGTGGGATTCCGGTTCTCAGGGCGACTTCATTCACCCACGCGTGGTGAAGGAAGCCCGCTTACCCACGACAGGGTCTCCGACTCCCATCTCCGTTACCCTAGGGGATGACAAGACCCAGCGCTTCTTTGATCAGACGGTCACCGACCTCCCCTTCTTCCTCACTCTCGAACCGACTGAGCGTTCCTCGGCGTCTCGTCACGACCGCTCCTCTGCACATTTCGATGTGATGGAGACGGGGTACGACTTCATTCTCGGCACTCCGTGGTCTCATCGGTTCCGCAGCACCGAGGCCGATTGGGCGACCAACACTCTCGTTCTCAAAACGAAGTGTGGACAAACGTATCGCGTACCTTTCATAGGTACCACGGCGATACCACGCCCCGATCCTCCTCCCTCGAAGCCTTCAGTGCCCACACCACCCCCCTCTATCACTGTCACCTCGCCTCGGCAGTTCGCTCACTTCATTCGACAGGACGACGTCACCTTCTTTATGGTGGACGTGACGAATCTCTTACACTATGATCCACCCTGTCCCGACGCCGAGCTCATCCCTCTCGAGCCAGATCCTCCCTCTATCTCCATGGCTCCCATCTCTACTTCCATCCCTCCGCCGTATGTCGAGTCCACCCCGCCGTCGGGCGCTGACGTTGACGCTGACGCTGAGGAACTCGCACGATATACGGTTGACCTGGAGCCCGCAGTTCGTGAACTCATCCGAGAGTACCACGATGTTTTCCCATCGTTCTCGTACGCCGGCATCCCACCGATGCGTGACGTCGAGCACTCCATTCAGCTTGTGTCTGACTATCGTGTTCACCACCAGGCACCCTACAGACTCTCGATTCCCGAGGCCACCGAACTCAAGCGCCAGCTTGAGGAGCTCCTGAGACTGGGTGTCATTAAACCCAGCAACTCCCCGTGGGGTGCACCCGTCCTCTTTGCTCACAAAGCGGATGAAACTCTCCTTCTCTGCATCGACTATCGCGGTCTCAACCGCTACACGGTTAAGAACAGCTACCCCATGCCTCATTCCGATGAGCTGTTCGTCCGCCTAGCAGGCAACCGCTTCTTTACAAAGATTGATCTTCGTAGCGGTTACCATCAGATCCGCGTCGCTGCAGCCGACCAGCCGAAGACAGCGTTCCGATTGCGCCTCGGCCACTACGAGTTTACGGTGATGCCATTCGGCCTCACCAATGCACCCGCCACCTTCCAAAGGGCGATGAACGATATCTTCAGGGACATCCTGGAGCAGTACGTTCTTGTCTACCTCGACGATATCCTGGTCTACAGTCGTACCCTTGAGGAGCACCTCAGACACCTCCGCGACGTCCTTGACCGCTTGCGCAGACATGGTTTCTACGCCAAGCTGAGCAAGTGCCGCCTTGCCCAGCACAAAGTGGATTTCTTAGGACACTACGTGTCTGACCAGGGTCTCCACATGGACGACGCGAAGATCACTGCTATTGCGGAGTGACCCGCCCCCACATCCGCCAAGCAGCTTCGCAGCTTCCTAGGCCTGACCAACTACTATAGTAACTTCATCCGGGGCTACGCTAGGTATTCCTACGTCCTTACCTCCACCCTCCTCCGGAAGAACCCACCCTGGGCTTGGATACCCCTCCACGAGGACGCCTTCCACGCCCTCAAGAAGGCGGTGACATGCGCACCGGTTCTTCACCTACCCGATTTTGATCGCCCTTTTATCCTTACCACCGATGCGTCAGACTTTGTTGTAGGAGCAGTGCTTTCTCAGGTCTTCCCCTCCTCTCCTGATTCCTCTCATCCTCGTATCCCTCGCTTCCCACCACCTACCCCTACCACTGCTTCCCGACTGACGCCTACTCGTCCAGCTACTGACGAGCCCTCTATTGACTATTCTCCTACCATCGTCGAGGACGGCACTGTCGAGTCTCGCACAGGTGATTGTCCGATAGCCTTCTACTCTCGTCAGCTCCTGCCCGTCGAGATAAACTACATTGCTGATGAACGTGACGTTCTCGCAGTAGTTTATGCCGCTGGGCACTGGCGKCACTACCTGCACGGGGCACCATTCACGGTGCGCACGGACAACTCTGTTATCCAGGCTTTTCTGACTAAGCCGAAGCTCACTCCTCGACAGGCTCGCTGGTGGCGCGACCTATGCGAGTTTAGTTTCACCACTGAGCACATCAAGGGTGAGACTAATCGGGTCGCAGATGCCCTATCCCGACGCCCTGACCACGACCAGGAGCACATCCAGCTCTCTTCCATCACGGTCACCACCGTCCACCACTCAGTGATCGACGAGTTTCGCACTCAGTACCGCCACTGCCCCGACTATCGCGACATCSACGCGACCCTTCGGAGTGGCAAGACCGTCCCGAACTACTCTCTCTGGGACAACGGTCTCGTGTACTGGCATGGTTCACAGGGCACCAGAGAGCCCCATATTTTTGTTCCCTCCACTGGACAGCTACGTGTCCGAGCAGTAGCCGAGTTCCGTGACCAGGCAGCTGCCGGTCATATGGGCTTCCACAAGACGTTGGCTCGTGTGAGCCGCCTGTACGTCTGGCCGAAGCGCAAGGACTTTGTGAAGGACTCCGTCGCAGAGTGTCCCACCTGTCAGGAGGTGAACAGTGCGAACCACCTGCCTTATGGTTTGCTCCAGCCTCTTCCTATCCCTGAGGGTCATTGGCAGTCCATCTCGATGGACTTTATCGGTCCTCTTTGTCCTTCGACCCCTCGCGGTCATGATGCTATTCTGGTCGTCGTCGACCGCTTCACGAAGCGTGCACGCTTTGTTCCGTGCTGCTATGCCATCAGTGCACGTGAGGTCGCCGACATCGTGTTTGACCGAGTCGTGCGTGACCACGGCTTACCTCTGAGCATCATATATGACCGTGACCCGCGCTTTACCAGCCAATTCTGACGACGGCTCCCCGAGGTATACGGCACTCAGCTCCGCTTCTCCTCGTCTTACCATCCTCAGACTGATGGTCAGACCGAGATCACGAACAGGACTCTCGGAGATATTCTTCGAAAGATTGTTCGTGACAACCAGCAGTGGGATCTTCATCTTGCCCACGAGGAGATAGCCTACAACCACGCCGTCTCGCCAGCCACGGGGATGTCGCCTTACTATTGCAACCTCGGCTATCACCCTCGTGTTCCCGCGGACTTTCTTCGACCGTCACAGATGCAGCTCGATACGAGTTGTCTCGCGCTAGATGATTGGGTTGCACACATGACGTCGATCATGAAGACCGCACATGAGCACATAGCCGCTTCCCAGACTCGCATGGCAGCACGTGCGAACGGATCGAGGATGGACCATTCATTCAAAGTCGGTGATGATGTGCTTATCGACGCCTGCCACTTACAGCTCGAAGCGGACACGCTTCGCAAGTTTCGGAGTCGCTTCTTTGGCCCATGCCGCATCCTCCAGGCCGTCGGTTCTGATACGGCATCTAGCCCGGTCAGCTTTCGTGTGAAGTTGCCCGACTACCTACGCCAGGCTCGTGTGCATGATGTCTACCACGTCTTGTTACTGCGTCCTTAGCGCAGACCGTCTGAGCGTTTCACTGGACGAGCATACGAGCGTCCTCCACCCCTCATGGTGGACGGCCACGAGGAGTTCCTCGTTTCAGACATCATTGGTCGCCGAGTCACCGATGACAACCCTCCCCACGTCGAGTATCTCGTACGTTGGAAGGGTTACCCTGATGAGGAGGCTACCTGGGAGGCCCCTCGAGTACTTGCAGCACGCTCGCATGTTGGTGCGTGCCTATGACCGTGCTCGTCGTGCTGGGTTCACTGCTCCTCCTCAGCCCACTGACCCTCCTCCTTCTCCCCCGGCTGAGGAGACCGYTGAAGTCGAGCCTGCTCCATCTGAGGCAGACCTTCAGCAGCAGCCGGATGCTTTTGAGCATCCACAGCGCACTCGTCGTCGTCCTGCTCGATACGATGATTGACTCTGACTTACCTTCCCATGTCCTTGACTTCTCAGTACTCCATCCACTCCAGTTTTGCTACTTCGGCTCGTCGACGTTGCGGCTCTTCCTCGACGGTATTTCGGACTTCTAATCGTGGACGTCATCGGCAGCTTCATGGACTTCATCACCATCAGCTCTACCTACTTCAGACGTCGCCACTCTCTTACCACTCTACCCTGTACAGTACCCTGCTCGTGTCGCATGATGGTCTCCCTTTAGCCGGGTTCCTCTTAGTTGGGCTCTCCCTTGGTATACGCATAGGCATCGAGACCGTAGCGTTGCCCTGGCTTCCCATCTTACGGATCTAGCTCCGACTTCCCTCACTTTAGGAGTCATTTGCATGATTCCCTCACCCATCATCTTTCTACCCTTCGCAGGCCCTCACGCCCTAGTTAGGCAGCCCCGCATGCTTCATCTAGGTGCGCCCAGTATACCAGGCTCCCCTGTTCCTTTGCATGGTCGACCCTCCATAGCGGTCACCCATGAGTCGAGCATTACCTGCCGTGATGGTCTATCTGTTAGGGTCATTGGTTTTGTTCGCTCTCAATTCCCTACCCTCCTTGAGCCTGATAACATGTGTCTCCCTGTTATCTATGTGTTGATGCCCTTACGAGTTTTCGACCCCTAGGCTGCATTCGCCACCCTCAGAGACCATCCCACCCTTTGGTTTGCGGCACACTTCTCATGTGACATATGATAGACTTGTTGTTGCTTTGTTACTCACAGACTGAGGCTACTGCCTCTGACATTTCTAGGATTTAGTTGTTTTGCTTTTGCTGTTCTTAGGACTTATACACTAGTCAGTTGTTACCAGACTGAGGCTAGTGCCTCCAACATTTTAGGATCTAGTTGTCACTACTTTCTGCTTTCCTAGGACATGTATGCTAGTTAGTTGCTTTTGCTTTCCTAGGACATGTATGTTAGTTAGTTGCTTCTGCTTTCACTTAGGCTGTTAGCTGTGACATTGTTGTTTTGTGACATTTTATATCCTAGGTTGCATCGCATGGACTCAGCATGGAGCTTGCTCCGCATCCTAGACTACTCAGGTTTTCTTTTTTTGGTAGAGTTCCGCTTCTTGGCAGAAGCATGTTTGTATCTAGGCGATCCATCACAGACCGAGGATCGTGTAGCGGACCTCGGGTTGGCCTGTGAGACCAGCCCCTTGGCCTGTTCTCACAGGCCAGTGTTGTATTCGGGGTAGGCCAGTCCAGGCCGGTACCTCTGTCGGTACCAGCCAGTCCAGTCTAGTCCCGTCAGTCCGCTCGGGTATACCCTAGCCATCGTTTGTTTTCACCCTCATTCTTCACTTGCACATTTCTAGAGTACGCGCGTTGGAGTCCTGCGTGGGAGCTGCGCTGTGCGTCATCTTGCTCCCCCTTCTTCCTCCATCTCCATCTCTACCACTAGCGGAGCACCATACCTGGTGGGTCCGCTACACTCTTTTTCTTTTCGAATTTTGCTCGGCCCTGTAAGGCTCACTCTCTGTGTCTGAATAAAGATGCCTTGCTAAGATCCGTGTTGATTCTTGAAATTCTGTTTTCATAATTTGGAAATGCATGGGAACTGCGCGCGCTTTAGTAAGCGCTCTAAGAATTTGGCACGGCGGTTAGTAATTCTGAAATAAACAGAACCTCGACGTGTCCTTTTTGTGCATGAATATTCTCGACTACGTCGCGGAAAACTCAGGGTCCAGGGAATACAAATGGGTGTAAGACGGCCTTTTCCCGCACCTACTTTACGCGCAGATATGGTGACTTCAATTTTTGAATTAGCATAGGATTTAGGAATCTGTAACTGTTTTGGTGCCTCTTTTTGCATCTGTGATCGGCGCCATGCAAGAGAGTTTCCCCTTTTTTTGCTCCCCTCACCATCTTCGACACTCCCTTCGCGCCCACACTTACTCTCCTGCTGTAACCATTTTTTTTCCTCTCTTTCAGTCTCTCTCCCACGACCTTCCCCGCGCCTTTTCTCTTTCTTGATCATCTGAATCTTGGATCCGTTCTGCGCTATCCTGCACACCCCTCTCTCTCTCACTCTAAGTCCTACGCCCAAGAGCCCGGTCGACCCTCTCCTCACTCCTTACGCGACGACTCTGATTGGTTGTGATCGGACTCAGCAGGATCGACATGGCTTTCGTCGGGCGATTATCTTCACGTCCTCTCTCACCCTTCCCTGACTCAACCTTCATCCTCCCTCGTACCTACCTCCCTTCCCGCAACTATAAATTCTGCAAGCGCGCCCGCAAAACTCTCTCTTAACTCATTTGCCATCTTCCGGGAAGCAGTGGCTAAGTGATATGCGTGGAGTGCAAGTCGAAAAGTCGCGACGAGCTGACTGTAGCCTGGTCGGCGGTGCGCCTGATCGCCACGACAGACTGTGGGATCCGGGCAGGTCGTGTCGAGACTAAGTCGCCGAGGTGACGATCGCAGTGGTGGAGAGTGGCACGTGACCACTGGGATCGTTAGTGCGTGCATAGTGATCGGAGTTGAATGGCCCGGGGCCATAGTGGAATTTCACGGCGGATGCGCCTTCTTGTCTTGAGTCTATCCTTTGGTGTGAGTACAACTCAACGGCAGTTAAGTCGGAACTCCTTTGTCATCTTCGAATTTTTGTGTGATCTTCATCATCTTGTTGTTCTCGCCCATTTTCGCACTTTTTCTCCCCAACCTACTTTAAGGCATGAATAACTATGAATGTCTGTCATGAAATGGTTGTCTGATAGGCTTGCGTTTGATTGGCCATGGGATGACGGGACAGGGGGTGAGGAGGAAGCTGAAGCCAATCCACGTCAGAAGAAGAAGAAGAAGAGGATGAGGAAAGTGAGGCAGAGGAAGACGAGCCACGAGCACAGCAGCTCGAGGAGTTGCCCGCCCCAACTCCAACTGTTACATCACGAGCCACCACCATCGAGCTCGAGACTAGCCGTACTAGCGGATTCTGTGCGGAATCCCAATTTACCTCAAGAAATAGTTAGTCGCCACAATGAGCAGAATCCTCCCGCCGTCACTATCGCTCTCACTCACCATCTCCCTCGTCTTCCGCCCCGTCCACGCTTCGGCCCCATCCTTCTCCCCACACGAGCGCTCTATCCACTGTCTCTTATACACATCTAGATGTGTATAAGAGACAGCTGTTACATCACGAGCCACCACCATCGAGCTCGAGACTAGCCGTACTAGCGGATTCTGTGCGGAATCCCAATTTACCTCAAGAAATAGTTAGTCGCCACAATGAGCAGAATCCTCCCGCCGTCACTATCGCTCTCACTCACCATCTCCCTCGTCTTCCGCCCCGTCCACGCTTCGGCCCCATCCTTCTCCCCACACGAGCGCTCTATCCACGTCCCGTTTTTCGCCACCCTCTTTATTTTCTTTCTTTCTCCCCACTTTCCCACATCGAATTTCCCCTCGACTATCGTATATCCCCCAGTCAACTCTTATATGGCCACTGTTTTGTCCGACTGCTGTGCGAAGTTGACCCCCATGTCGCTCAATCCTTTCCCCTCAATATTATCCTCTTCAGTATCGCATGGAGCCAGCACAACCATATGGAGTTGTATTGCATCATCTTTGGGATCTTCCATGCCGTGGAGAACTATGAGTCCCTGCCCAATAATACCCTGCATAGGATTCTCACTCTCTACGTTGAATACCTTGCTTCCCTTCCCTTACCCAATCCTTGATTTCCCCGTGCTCACCGGATCGTCCATTTCGTCGATCTCAGTAACGAACCCTGCGATAACTTTCCCCCGATCCTTTCACAGTGGCCACAACCCCCTCCCTCTCCGCTCCTAGTTAACTACAATCGACCGTAGCATCAATAAGTCAGCGATAACCAGGAGAGAAAATACAGACCTTGACGAGGCCATCTGGAAGACAATCATACATTCAAGATCCCGATCTCCCTTGCTGCGATGGTGGAGGATTGTCGACACGACACGATGGCAGCCGCTTCACACGGATATTGCAATTGACATTGGCATCAACATATGATTCTCTCTAACCTCTTACGTTGTTTCAATGTGGTGGCAGGTGCTTTCCTCTGCTTATTGATATGTTCAGTTCCTCTTCTCTCCATCCTCCTCCTCATGTAAATTAGCCTTTCTAACTTCCGTGCATGCCATCAGGAAATAGCATAATTTTGGACCCCCTGAACGTCACATAAGTGACGTACCAGCTTCTGTACTTGAACGAACTTTCAAAGCCTTGAGTTTTGTTATATGTGTTTCTTCGATCTCTAACGGGCTTTGGGGGGGGGGGGGGGGTCTACCCTTCTGTTTAGTTGGTGGCATGCATGGGATCAATGGTCGACGAGGCCCTCCTACTTTGTAAAACTTATTGTTTTCTTTCTGAGGCTTTTTTCATAATTCTTTTCCAACGACCTACAAAGTTACGTAGGACTTACACACGCCTTAGTAAGCGGGCTAGGAATTTTGATCGGCAGTTGCGAATTCTTGTATTTGTGGTCGTGCTTCCCGCTAATATGTCCTTTCTTGGAAATGAATGTTCCTTAATTCGCCCTTGAAGACTCTGCGAATTTTCAGTAGGATCTGAATAGACGTAGGATTTTTTTGTGCCGAGTCTCGCGCCTGGATATCATTTTTGAATTTC